CAGGCCCCACCACCTGACTCAAGCTCTCAGGGCTGCCTAGCATGTCTTGCCAGCTGTTACTGGTGCCAGACTCTGGCAGGACATGCTAGGCAGCCTGGGGGGGCTGGTGCTGGGTGGTGAGGTCCGATCCTTCTCTCTGTGGAGTGCTACCACTCTATGAAAGCCCACTGGGCCTCCTGGCACATTCTGCCAAAGCCTGACATAAGCAGCAGCCACCAAATGTGCCAGGTAGCATCAGGGGCTTGTGCTGGGTGGCAGAGCCTGATCCTTCTTCCTATTAAGCTGGCTCAGCTGGGCAGGGAGGGGAAACCTCCCTCCAGGGCCCAGCCTCCCCCAGTTGGGAAGATTCCAGCTTAGGGGACCAAGACTGGGATGGGGGGGGCTTCATTCACTCCTCTCCTGTGCATCAGTGATTCATGCCAGCCCAGCTGCACAGTGGAGCAGAATCACCCCCCACAGCTGGGCAGACCAGGGCTGGGGAGGATCCTAGGCTGGTCAAGGGAAACCCCCAGAGGCTGGGGCTCTTCCCAGGTGGGCAGAAGTGAGCTTGAGGGCTGGTCAGGAGGGGGAACTCCTTTCCCACTTTCCCCCAAGTGGTTCTGTGAGGGCCTGTCCTGGGAGTGGGGAGGGGAACAACCATCACAGGCAAGGGCTAGGTTGCTCTGTTCCCCCAACCCTTCCCCCTGCCACTGTCCTGCAGAGCTGGCAGGCACAAGCAGGACCACAGTGCGAGGAAGAGGCATTGCTGGCTCAGCTCTGTGACAGCTGTGAGGCAAGGTTGGTCCTGGCTCAGCTGGAGCAGACAGCACAGCCAAAGTTAGACTGCTTCCCTGCAAGAGAGGTTAGCAGGGGTGGGGGGGGCAATATATCTTGGGATGCTGGGGGGACTGGGACATAACTTGAGTCAGGAGGGGATCTGGGACACAAGTTTCACAGACTGGTTTAACCTAAATCAGTTAAGTCTGATACTATATTCATCCAGGTTTATCTTAAACTGGGTTTGGCCATTTTGAAACTGATTAATGTGTGCTGAACTTCTGTTCTGTTGCAGGTTTAAACCTGTTTCTGATAACTTTTACCAGTTTATGTACAACTTCTGTCCCTAGCCTAAGACTAAAATGAAGGACACAAACATCATTCCATAAGGGTTACCCGTTTGTTAAGTTTGCTTGGCACAGCACTGACTTTTTACTTACAAATGACAAAACCCAACTGTACACACCAAATACAATGAACATCAGTTACAAGTCACAGTGTGTATACTCACATTTACTAAAACTTAAAGATTATTCCAGCAATGGTTGAATGTAATTGTATCACTGCCTTTCAAAGAAACAAAATATACAAGAAAAAATAAAAACACCAGTTATCAAAGGCTACTTTTTCACTTTCTGTAATTAAAACAATGCGATCCAAAATTTGGTTTACAGTAATATACAGATGGTTCTGCTAAGAAGTTACAAACAGATTTTCATTATGCAATGTAATGTTCAACTACTCTTGTAATTACACATCCAGATAGTTAGTAAACCTAGGGTCAAAATTAGTTAAGGTTGAGGGCATAATTGGGAGTGAGAAGATGAAAAGAAAACTTTTAAGTGCATAAGTTAGAAGTCAATACATAATTAAGCCTGCCTGGCATCATCCATAACATACATATCACATTTTCTTTAGAAATCAGATTGCTTTTTGACAGATGTTTGTTTTGTTCACCTTAGCCAACTCCACACCTTATTTACACTGCCCAACCTGCTTGTATAACTGTTACATGAGCAATCTGCACTGCACAGGTCACTGGACTTAATTTTGTAAATCCAAAGTTGAACTGTATGCAAGAGACAGCAGAATACAAACCTAGAACACTATCAAAACAGTATATTCTGTAATCTCAAACTCACCTTCTACAAATCCATTCATAGCATCTGACAAAATAGGCTGCAGCCTATGAAAGCTTATACCTTTGTGAACAAAGTTAGTTTTTGAGGTGCTACCTTGCCCTGCCTTCAGCCTGCGTTTAGACTAAAGGAGGGCAAATATGGCCTGTGGGCTGGATCTGGTCTGTGGAGGGACTTAGACTGGTCCTTGGTGGGTCCCTTGGTCCTGCCTGGCCCAGGCTCTGTCTGGCCCATGGTACGTCCTGCCACCCCCAGGCACACAGTGGGGCTGAGGTGGCTTCAAAGCTGGAATGCATTTTTAGGTAGTTCAGGCAGCGGAGGCTCTTTCCATGTGCTGGCGCTGCTGGACCAAGCCCTGAGGTATTGGCAGGGACCCATGCTCACAGCACCGCCCCCGCCTTGCCCCGCTCCCACTCTGGACTCACCCAGGCCAGAGTGGAAGAGGTCTGGCCCAGCCAAAATCTATGTGCACAGCCCCAACCTTGGCCTACTCTACACCTGCTCCAGACTGTCTGCCTACGCTGAGCAGCATTCTGCTTGGGGCCAGGCCCTTTCTGCTGCAGCTGTCTGGAGCCCACGTGCCGTCTGCCCTGCGGCAACTATATGCTGTTGTCACTTCTGTCTCTGGGCCATCAGCAGGGCAGTGGTAGCATTAGAGAGGAGCCACAGGGCAGCCCAGGCATGGGCTCTGGGCAGCTGCAGCCAGAAGGGCCTGGCAGTGGTGCGGGGGAGATGGCCACTTTTCACCTGTGCCCAGCAGCAGTTTCTCACAGCCACCACCCCTGCTGTTGCTGCTCAGCGTGGGCAGGCGGTCTGGAGCAGGTATGGGGCAGGTCGGGGTTGGGGCTGTATGTGCGGGTTTCAGCTAAGGCAAGTCCAGGGTGGGCACGGGGTGGGTGCTGAGCTGCTGCTGGGTGCTGGTGGAAGTGACAAAGAGGAGCCACAGGGCATGTGGGCTCTGGGCTGTTGCGGGGCAGGGGAGGGAGTGCCGACTAGCCTGTGACAGCTCCCCAGAACTGCAGGTCTAAATAACTTCCTGGACCTGCTTTGGACTACATGGCTAACTCTTTCTACATATGATTTGTTAACAAAATTGGTTACTGTTGTCATTACTAAATATCTTAACCACTTTATTTGCCTTTTGTTTATTAAAGTAAAATTTGTTCATTTTAGAATGTCTTAAGAAATTAGGAGAGGGAGAGGCATGGATTTTACTAAGCCCCACACCTTGATAATATAGTCATTTTACTTCTGATTGAAATCACAAACTTCAAACTCATTTTGGGTAACTACTGATTGCTTACACCAAAAATCAAAATAAAAACTACAGAAAACCTAAGCATCTTAAGGTCAAGAGACTCCTCCTTTCAGCTAGTGCCATTTGATAGCCCTTGTAAGGTATAATCATGATGATATATGATTACATGGGAACAGTTCAGCAAAAAGTTACTTTTATTCTATGATCACTGCTAGGAAAGCAAAATTTAAGTCACTGCAGCAGGTCTGGGTGCTGAAAACTAACTGCAAGTCTTAGATTAGGATGTATCAACACAAACAAGCATTCACTGTTGGCTATATTATTGTATGTAAAAATCAGTTTATGCTTTCTTGAAAATGTGTTAAAAATCACCAGCTCCTGGGAACTGCTAAAATAATGCCACAATTGGGATTTACCAGATGTACATAGCAGGATGCGCAATGTTTGATTTAGGGTATAAAACTCCTCAGATCCCAACTGTTTGATTGCTGGGGCCAAACTGGGATGTTGGGCTGTCTCTAGTTAGACCCTGCAGACTAGTGTGACCTGGACCCTAGGACTGCCCCCATGTCCAATCCCAGTGCTCATCTGAGTGCTGAGACCAGGCACAAGGCAGCCCAATCCCCACTGAGGATTAGGCTGGGGATAGCCCTAGGACCTGGGGCTGTCCAGGGCCACTATTGACAATCAGCTTAAAATAGATCTGGGGCTGCCAACATGCTCTTGACTGGACCCATGGTAATACAGGGCAGATGTCGACAGTCAATGATTTTTGGCATCTGCTGGTGCAGTCCTAGGTCTGGAACACGTACCACACACTCATTTCATTTAACATGGGGGAAATAAGCCCTTTGTCTCCAATTTGAGTACAAGTGGGGAGGTCAATGATTACAGCTGCGACCCTGGCCCCAAACCTGAGCTTGGACGTGGAGACAGTCACTGCCCCCCCTCCTCCTTGGCTCTGCCCCCTGCCCTCCGCTACTGGAAAACAAAGAATACAACAATTTTTCAGACTTCCTGTAAGATCAGCTCTGCACTCTTGAGATAAAATATAATTTTAACTCCGTGAAAAGGTCTTTACAAATTTTCTCTGTCAATAACTTTAGCTTAAAGTTAACCAGTTCACATATACAGAAGTGTTCTTTATTTGCTCTACCTGAAAACTGATTCTAAGACCAAGTCCCTTTTTTGGTTTGCGCTTTTTTGATGATTTGCAAATCCAGAAATAATCCAAATCTTTCCGCCAAATTTTTATTGTCTCCACAATGATGAGGGGAATAATTTAAAATCTCATTTCAGTCAGTAAAGTTAGAGTCATATGGCTTAATATATAATAAGCAGCAGATGTATTAAAAGAAAGGGGACACTTTTTACACAGTAATTTTCTGAATATAACTGCAATTCTACATCTAGGAATAACATTATGTGTCCACTTTCTGCTACATGCAAAAAAAAGGCAGTCATTAGAACAATTTAAAAAATTCTGATAGTCTTAGTTTCATAGTTTCTAAGGCTGGAAGGGACCTGAACAGATTATCAAGTCCAACCCCCTGCCCTGGGCAGGAATGAGTGCTGGGATCATAATACCCCAGCCAGATATCTCTCCAACCTCCTCTTGAAGACCCCCAAGGTAGGGGAGAGCACCACCTCCCTTGGGAGCCCATTCCAGAGCCTGGCAGCCCTAACAGGAAAGTATGTCTCCTGATATCAAGGCAGAAACTTCTCTCAATCAATTTGTGGCCGTTATTCCTTGTTATCCCAGGTGATGCCTTGGGGGAACAGAGTCTCACCTATTTTCTGCTGGTCCCCTCTGGTGAGTTTACAGACAGCCAGCAGGCTGAGGCCACCAGATCCTTCTGGTTTCATCCTCAGCCTGTTAAAACATGAAGCCATTCAGGCACAGTCCAAACGCACATGTCCCATGTATTTCTCGCAGCAGGGCCTGAGGTGATGGGGCTGCAAGCTGGGCCTTAGCCCAGTCACTCAGTACAGACATAGCATAATCATCATGCTATTTATTAAAAGAAGATACTAAATTATGGGTCATCGTTGAGAAAAAGTTATGTTTCTGGGAGTGTGTAGAGGCAGAATATTTGTTACAAAGAGTAAAGATATGTTTACACACCACAATAGTGCCAGGTAGAGATACTCAAGCTAGCTTGTTTAGAGCTAACTTGGGTACCAAAGGCATTATAGCTACCTTAACATAGTAGTCTGATTACAGTAATATGCATTACTTCTATTGTGGCTATACTGCTTCCAGTATCAGAACAAGTTTGTTTAAAGCTTGCTCAGATACTTCGATATGACACTACGTTGTGTAATAAACCCAAGCCCTTAGAAAGCACAGGAGAAGGAAGTCACTGGTAATAAATGAGTAAATATGGGAAATAGGATATATGTTGTGTGTTATTGGAGCAAATCAACTATATATGACTGTGTGGCTGAATTAGTTGTCCCTTATTTCAGGGTCACTAGGTATTAAATTTCATGATTCAACCATGTAGCAAGGTCCTGTTCTTTTGGGTTTGTCAGCTGAAATGCTGAAAGAGACATGATACTGTACTTGTAGCTACACTGCCAGAAGTAAGGAACATACAGTATGAAGCTGTCAGCTATTTCAGAAAGACCATTACCTTAATTTGGAGAATAAAAGGCCTAAAAATTGTATCTGAATTTTGAAAAATGAGACCTCTGTGAATTAACACAACAGAAGGGGAATAGTGGTAATGGGCTACCTTTGTATCTATACAGCTATATAAATATAGATATAGACATATATAGAGATATCTCTGTCTATATATTCTGTATCTAGATAGATAGATAGACATTCATTTAGTTGAGAGGGCAATTTGGCTTCATATCTTTGTGTTTTGATTGAAACATACCAAGTGCAAAATGTCCTGTTAAAATTAAAAGGTAGTAAAAAATCCTTTAGAGTGCATTTCTCTAATATGTTTTATTTCCAAGTAGAATCATTTAGTTTAACATATTGCAACCATAACAGGAAAGTATCAGAGTAGGTAAGAGTAAGTATCCCACCTCTACCCCCTGGGCAGGATTTTATTAGCTGAACGTATCTTTGTATCAAGAACATTTTTAGAATTTGTTAATTCATAAAGAATACATATTCAGCATATGTGAAATAAAACAATTGTGAAGAAAGAGACTATATCAGAATTTTCCTGACTTACTACTGAGGTCAATATTACAAAACAGATTATATAAAAAGGTAGAAACTTTGCAGAAATACTTTTATATTAATTTTTTAAAATTATTTTATGGAAAGTCCTAATCTGAAGGCTGTCTTTTTTAAAGAAAACATGCATGAATAAATATATTTTATTGTTTGTTAAACTGCAACCCTTGAAATAAATATATACTACTATAAGTTATTTAAAAAAAATTGTGTTAAGACACTTTTTTTCCCTTGTCATTTTTCCTAGCTTACATATTATCAAAATGCTCAAAGCAGGTGTGAGTTCTGGTAAAGGTCGGAATAACAAGCATCTTGTTTGATATTTGATTATCACATGTTCTGTAAATAAAATAATGTTCTCATAAACAATAAATAACATTTTATGCACCTATTGCATTTTTACGTTAATGAATGTACTTTTACATTAGACGACATAAATTCTTATTAAGACAAGCATTTACTAGTTTTAGTGAATTATTAATAGAGAATGTCTTACAAAAATAAAACATTCTGCTTGGGGAATAGCAACAGCAATATATCTGAAAACAAGGAAGTTAAAAAAAAAATCTTCTCTGCTTCGACATGTTTTGCTAAAAGTCTCTTGACACAAATAAAAGGATCCTCCCCAGCATATGGAGGAGTTGCTATGCCCTTCCAGGGATGGTCTGTAGCTATGTTCACCTCAGGCACGCCAAGGAGAGGTGAATTGTCAAATGTAATTTCAATCATTGTGTGGTTTGGTTAAAGCAGATTAGTTGTATGCAATCATGATAGATAGTTTATCCCAGCCCCAAACTGCCGCTTGGGAAATCTTGCACGCAAACGAACAGAAACTCAGTCATTATTAGTGTCAAAAAGGTATAGAGAGGCAAAATTTGGTTGGCAGCCAGGGAAGATGAATCAAGGCGAAAAAGTGACCAATTGCATGTTCAAAATAGAAATTGATAGGCATGCTGCAGTTTGGAGAGATTTTAAAAACTAGAAAGTGTCATATATTATTAATTATTCAACGATTAATATTTAAAAAAATGTTTCCATGGAAAAAATGTGATTTTTAAATTCAATGTAAATTACATGCATAAATCCTAATGTTTAAATCTTGTTTACAAGCTTTATTTTGGAAGTATTAAAATATAGATGGATATTAAAAATCATTTCTATGGGTATAAGATTATACATATTTCTCATTAAGTAAAATATGGAAGTAAATGTTCATTGATTTTTAAATAATTTTTAGAAATTAAATGAATATTTTTATTGCTGAATTATTTCTCTGCAAAGAACTCAGCAGAAATACGGTAAGGTTAAATATTACAATACACAGGTCATATGCATCATCTTTAAAAAGCCAGCTAAATTTCATCAAGAGAATGATAAAATACACCTGTGAGAGTTATCACAAGCTCTGGTCCTCACAATACAAAAAATTACCAAAAAGATAAATGTCCTCAAGTTTCATTGCCTGAAGTGATATGCTCTGACAAATCTAACAGCTCTTTCTGTGTCATTCCTAATGCACTTGTCACTCAGTATTATCCATCCTCATTAATGACAATGGGAAAGTTTATCTTGGGAACACGTTTTAAATCATCCACTTTTTACAATGGGACCATGAAATCTCTTACAAAACATGAGGCGGGAACTACTTTGACAACAAAACCCCTTCCTGGCAGCTTTACTCTTAATTCCTGTTCAAGGAATAATGTGTTTATTATAAAACCATACAGAACAATATATTAAACGAAATTTGAAACAAGAATAGTAAGTGTGATTTTCAAGTTCTCAAGTATTTTTACATTTTTATTAGGCTCAAAACATGAAGTCTTATCAGCGTACCTTTATGAATATGTATATTTTAAAAAAGAAATAAACAAACATGTATATGAAGTGTTAAACTCTTCCTGATGGTTCAGAAATGTAGCTACAACATGAAACATTTGCTTTCAATCAAAACAAACAATAAACAAAAACAATAAAATGCACCACATGTCTTCACCAGCTAATTAGTGTAAGTATTGTGATTCTCCATTTTTTATTGAAAATGTTAAAATCTAACAGATGAATTGTGGTTCAATTCAAACTGTACAGTACCTGTTCATATTTTTAAGGTATACCTCTGCAACCCATCTACACTTGAAATTTAATCATACTTGTCATTTTTCATATACCTCCTTTAATAATGAGTATGCCTTTAATTGACAGCTCCGGAAAATAGTTCTCATTTGCTGGGATAACATATACTTTGCAGAAGATGCTCTGCATCTTTTTCATCATATTTTGGAAATTGTAATGTGGAAATTGGAACATTAGTCCACTTTTCTAATGTTTCTTGTGGGAAATTACACTATTCACTGTATCACTGGTTTTCAACCTTTTTAGGCTTGTGGCACCTATCAGTAAGCATGACGCACCCCTCAGAAAATACCAGGTCTTGGTTTTCACTTGCTTTTTGACTACAGATAAATGAAAGAACAAGTCTTCTGTTGCAAAGAACTCAGAAAGACCACAACAGGTCAGGGGTGTAGGTTGTAGTCGTGTTGATCTAAGGACATAGGCACACAAGGTTCTTTAGGTGAATCAGATATATTTTATTAGACCAACTAAACAGTTGGAGACAATATTTAAGCAAGCTTTCAGGTTCAAAAACCCTTTGTCCGGCTAAGGAAGTTTCAGCAGTTGATGTGTGCTCTTCTTGGATGGAATGAAAAGTAAAGAAGCCAGAGGCTGGGCTGGTATGCATACAAGACAGGCAGTCAGTGAAAATGCAGATTCAGGAGTCAATGGGTGAGAGACAGGCTGGGTGTGGGGGAGAGAAGGGGGATGAATAGTGGAGAAGTACCTGCAAAGTCAGCTGTCAGGCAGGTTATAATGTGTTATAAATCCAATGTCTATATTTAGTCCATGGTTTTTAGTATCCAGGAGGTTGATGAAGTGGAGTTCATAGGCTCATCTCTGGGAAGTGTTTTGTAAATTTCCTTTGAGGATCAGGACTGAGCGATTGGAGAGAGAGTGGTTTCCTTGTGAGAAATGTGCCCCCACAGGTAATTGGGTATTCCTATCTTTGATGGATTTCCGGTGTGCGTTCATTCTGGTGCGCAGTTGTTGTTTGGTCTCACCTATGTATTTTCCATTTGGGCATTTGGTGAATTGGATGAGATATATTACATTTCTGGAGGTGCAGCTGTAAGATCCGGGAATGGTGATGGCTCTGTTGTGGGGTGTAGCGATTGTGGCAGTGGCAGAGATGTGTTGGCAGGTTTTGCATTTCTTGTCATGGCATTGTCTGGATCCATTTGGTGTGTTCTGGGTCTGAGGAAGTTTGCTTCTGGTGATGAGGTT